TCCGTCCCGCAGCGACAGGGACACCGCGCTGGGAACCTGGCCTGACCTGGCCTGACCTGGCCTGACCTGGCCTGACGATGATCTTCACTTTCAGCTGCTCCAGAGTCTGAGGAGCTGCCGCACCCGCTCCCAGCGAGCCCGCTCACCCCGCATCCCTCCCTGCCCTGCCACTGCACCAACCTTCTCCGCCGCATTTTTAATCCCTTTCTTCTCCTTCCCCCGCTCTCTCCCTTAACTTCCTTTTTGGTCTCAGAAGGAGAAACAGTCAACATGGAAGGAGGGAGGGGAACATGAGACTTCTTTCCCTCCCAAGAAGTTGAATGCCTGCTGTACCCTTACTGTCCCCTTACCCTTTCACAGAAGCAAAGGGAGGCGTTTTGGTTCAGGCAGATGAGGTTTAGGGGGTTGGGACTGCTGGAGGTTTTTGTTGGGGGTTTTTTTAAGACTGGTGAAATGTCAGATTGAAACTGAGTTACACAGATGCAACGACTGTGTATTTTTGTGAGCTGTCTCTCACCAAAACTAACAAAACCACGGCTAGTTTGGTTAAGGAGTCAAACATCCATCACACCTACATAGAAAAAGCAAGTGAAGAAATGTTTGTATCACTTAAGCTGCATCTATATTGTGAAATCCACTTTTCAACTAAAGAGAGCAAAGCTTTTTTTTTTTTCTTTGAATACCGTTTTACTTCCTCAGGAGTAGCTGGAGTTAGTCATTTTCCATTACTCAGTGCTAGTGATTACTCATCTCTGACCATGAAGAGACAGACAGAGCAGTCTTGCTTTAATCCTACGACACACAAAGAAAGTAACCTTGAAAAATGCAGCCTTTTCTGCGGTGCTGAGGTCTTAAATTAATGATTCAGGCTGCCAGATCTAACCTCACATCGAGGTAGCCAAGTAACCACACCATCTAAAAGTGTGTACAGACTGATGTCTATGAAAGCTCCGCTAAAGAGGACTTCCTCATTTGCAGCGATGAGGAAATTGGGATGTCAGTTGAATATCCATCTATGAACACACCTGCAACGTTACAGTAGCTGCCAGCTTCTTCTAAAAAGCTCCAAGAAGTCAAACCAGTACATCTAGTATCAGTGCTATAAGACAGCAATGAAAACAATGGTTTTATTTACGTTGTGATGCTTAACACTGGTTTCAAACAGAATAATTACACTTGTGAAGTGGTATCATAAATAAACACCACAAAAAGCATTTTACAGAAACAGAGATTTCTGGTAAAATATACAAGTTTAACACAAGAGAGCAAGCTGTGGAAAAATACTTGCTGGTTCTGTGAACTGTGTACAATTCAGTGTGAAAGAAACTTTTAAGGATAGGAAAAAAACTCGAAAGATTGAGTTAAGGCTCTTATTTGCAAGGGATCTTCCTTCCTGTGGAAGCACATTGGAAAATACTTTCTCTAGACAGGATGCAGCTTGAGGATTTAAGGCCGTGCGAGAGGCTTCACTATTGGGATGCTGTGGAGCTCAGTGTCCACGTTAGTAAGGGCTGCGTGTCTCTGTTTCCTCTTTCCACCACTCTACTGTACAAATGAGCCTTTATCATCTGCACCCCAAGATTAAGATGTGCATGCAAGCCAAGTCCTCATCAAATGTAAAAAGATAAAAGGCATTTCTTCTCTTGTCCCCATTCAGCAGGGAACTATAATTGGTATTTCCAGAATTGAAGGAAACCAGACATTCCTTGGGGGAAGAAAAAAACCCCCAAAATCTATACAGAGCATCTCTAGTTACTGCAAAGTAAACCTGCCTATTTTAGCTTTTAAAATGCATGAAGGTATAAGCCTGGATAAAACCAAGTGAACCAGCCTTTCACAGGTAAAAGCAGTGTCAGGTACATCAGGTGGCACTCCAGGTGAGCGAGGTGAGGGAACATGAACAGAATTTTTGCTAGCACTGAAGAGAATGAAAAGGAGAACAAAGCCTTTAATAAAACCTGTAACTAAAACCAGTACAAGTTCCAAAATGGCATCAAACTAAAACTTGGGGCCTTGGTGGCAGGGAAGAAGGGAGATCACCCAGACAGCTCAAAATTATCTGACTGATGAAGGGATCTACTAAATGTTCTGAGGTTCATTTAAAACCATCTTCATGCATTTACATACACCATACCTGCCTCGAAGCTACGTACCCATTTCATCCCCAGAAGCCACTACAGAAAAGGTCTGTACTGAAAGTCAGCAAAGGTTTTTGTTTATTACACCAAATGCTGTGCAGGCATTGTAGGGTACAAAGTACCCCCACTGAGCACCAAAATAAAAATGAGGTGTTGGACACAGAAGTGTGGGGGGAAGGAGGGCAGGACACGAGCTCCTGTAGCAGCTGCTTCTGATGGATTCTGCCTTCATTGTGGGGACAAAGTACCCACTTGTACCTATCACAATCCACTTCACAGCATCACAGAGGACTCCTGCATTACCCACACACACTGGGCACATCTTGCCCCACTCATGCTCCAGTCTGAAGGTCACACAGCTTTGCTGCTGCTCTTGGGGGAGCTGAGCTGCCCTGGCTGGGGCAGACCAGGCCATCAGCTGGTCCCTCTGAAACACGGGTCGGTGCAGACACTCCAACAGTCTGAATGCTGCAAGCTGGTATATAAAGTTTTGAAATCCTGTTATTAGGAGCCAATTTTAAAGCTACAGTAAGTGACTTTAGGGGTCTGAAGTATCTAAATGGTTACTCTTTGCCCCTGTTTGTTCTACAGAAGTGACCATGTTTGATACAAAAAGAAATAGCACTCTCCATATTGAAAAATTAGCATCAGCACACAGGACTGAATCAAGAGTTCAACTCTTGTGAAAAGATGTTATTAATCCTGATTTAGGCCCTTAGAAGACTAAATATCCCACAACTGACAACCCCATTACCTACTAAGGAGAGGAGATAGTTGGGAAAGGCACACTACAACTCCCAATTAGCACAGCTTGGGTATCTTTGGCAATGCATCCGTTCTAATGAATTATTCCTGTATAAATCCTTCAAAGGACAGCATCCCATTACCTTATTCACTCTGAGTCTCTCTGGGATTTCATGAAAGCTCACGCTTGAGAATGCATGTAGCTGTAAAATAACTTCGATTCCTTTATTCAAACTTCACATATACAGTGGACAAAAAGACATTTTAAAATAGATCCATATAATCATATGGATTTTTGCCACATATCAAATTCAGATCCAAATTAAGATATACACTCTATTCCATAACCAAGCTAAAGCTTAAGGGTATACTTCATTTGTGTAATAAAACCTAAGAACTACTGTGAATACTGGAACATTCACCAGTCAAATTCCACCGAGTGGGAAGTTGTTTACAGCAATCTGGAGGTTCAGGATCCCCCCTTTTACAGGGCTGTACAACCACACTGTAAACAGGTATTTGAATTCGGCAGTTTCCCTTCGATTCTTCCAAACAGCCTTCATTTTACAAAAGCAGCTGCTCTAAGTTGCAATGGATACAGGAAGATTTAGACCAGTGGTTTTCAGTATGGAAGTTACCAACCCCAAATGAGTAGGAGACCACCAGCAGATGCTCAGGAAATCATCTTTATATAAAGAACAGTCAGAGCCTAAATGCAGCTCATCTTCACAGTCCTGACACGGATTTCCTCGTGGCTGGGTGTTTTTCCTCAGGTGCCAGTAGCACAAGCACTCTTCATGCAACTGGAAAGGACCAAAAGTTTGCAACAAGCCAGGAAAGTGACAGTGGATGTGGTTTCAAGAGAAAAGTTGGAGGGAACTTCCACCTTCTCACGATAAGCCAAAGAGAGCTCCACAAAACATCCAGTCCCAATGGAAGAGATAATGACAATTAAATGCAAAGTTCAAGTTCACACATTTCCAGTGTAAAAACATTCCCTCCACCAGTACTGCCTTAGCCAGAAACTAACAACTGATTCCAAACACCACTCAAAAAATAACACAGTTCTTGTAAAGACTGGGAAAGTACAGTTAATAACATACTGAAATCTAGATTAACAGGTCAACGTTTTACAAAAAAGTCGTGAGACTTAAATAATCCCTTTTTAAACTGCTTAACACATCTGACAAATAGCTTGCATGTCAATCTGATACATGCTGTACCGTTTGGCTCTTGAATTCCAAACCTTTCCATAAGAGATACCACACCTAGAACACCGTCAAATAAATAGTGAAAAACCAAAAGATGCTGTCTGTTTCAAAGCGTGAAGAGTAACAGTACATTACGCAAGATCGTCAGCGTTATACATACAGGGAATGCCACTCTGGTTGAACAGATTATGAAGCAGTATTTTCCATGAAATACTAGGCACAAGAAAAAAAAAAAAATCAATTAGACAGGTTTTTCTGCCTAATGGACAAATCTAAAATTAACATTCTTGGCAATACAACAATGTAACTGATATGCTTCTCAATATTTAAGAGCCTTAATCGCAAAAATCATGAAGCGATGTTTACATTTGTGTCTCTGACAAGCACTTTACAGTTCTGGACAGATTTCTTCTATGCTGTGTGCTCTACTTTCCAGCTGGTCACGAGTAGCATGTGCTGCATAAGAAAGATTACAAAAAACAGGTAATTCTTCACACTCATCGAACATTTTCAAAACACACACAAAAATCCCCCCAAAATCATCTTTCCTTCTCCAAAGGTAACGTTTGCCAACCTATTTCAGCAACCTACAAACTTTTAGTTTGAGATCCCAGAAACTTTCAAAATAGTTATTTCACCCTCGTGTTCTGAAGGAATTACTAACACCTCTGTTCAGCACACCAAGCACTGAATGCTCACCACCCCTGGAACTGGGAGGATTCAACCCAGGAGTTAAGAGAGAGATCAGTTTGCAGAACTAACATAGGAGGTTCCCGAAACACAAGCAAGCATAGTTCTTTTCAGGTCCAATTTCAATTCCAGATGAGACACTTGAAAACAAAGCAAGCTTATAAATGAAGGAGCACAGTCTGTTGTGTTCTTCAGGAAGTTGTTAAACTCATGGTTTTGAGCCAAAGAACAGCAGTAAATCAGAGAAAGCTCCTTCTCATTAGTGCTTTTCATATGAAAAAGCCCACTATAGATATATATATATATGTATGTGTGTAAAAAGGTCTTTTTATATTTATGCACACCTGAAAATTCAGCAGCATAAAGCAAAGATCAGAGAAAGCCACATCCAGATTATAATCTCCTTTAAAAAGGCCAGTTAGGCTTCAGCACAAGTTAGACTTGGTAACAAGTGACTAGCGTAGCTTACAAGCAGAACCAACTCGTGTAGGCTCCCAGCCTTCTCACTTATGTCACCTTTAGGGTGATGCTCACCGTGGTTAAGCAAACACAATGTATTCTGTATCTGCCAAAGGCCAAAAGAGCACACCCAGTCAGCTGACAGCTAAACTGATCAGCAGTATCTGAGCAGGGTTATCATGCCAGTGAATGCTAAATGAACCAGAAAGAGAGAACAATAGCTTTACTGCTTGTCAATTTAACTGCTATAGATCACACCCTCGTACGTGATACTTTTGTGTAGCAGAAGACAAGACAGGTCTGCATTGAAATCATCATGTTTAATTCTACCTAC